GTTTAGGGTTTAGGCTTAGAGTGTTGACTCAGGGTATCTTGGAGGGTAGGGTGTGGCAGTTTTGTGGGAGTCGGGTTGAAGGTTTAGGAAAAACCCTACGAAAATATATCAAATGATAAGGCACGCATGAACTGAATATGATTTAATGGGCGTTTTTCCAACAGAGTCGTTCATGAAGGTTTCAGTCTTTAGAAACCCAACATAAACTTGTGGGGCAGTGAAAAGATCTTTATAAGCCCCGTTAATGCTGTTCGTTATAATATATAATATATCGCGCGGTCACTACACTCCGTGCATATTATAATATTATAACTCCGCACGTGTTGTCTTCACACTCTATTCATATTAATCATGTGTGAACTTATATTGATATAAATATTGTGCTCTCTTCACCTTTAGGATTCATATCTTATGTCTGGTTAACTGGTTTAATCTCTTGGTAAACCCGCAAGAACGTACCAATCATCGGTTCTTGACGCATACCCCCTTGAACATGAAATCCAGCATCAAAACCGGTTCATGATGCAGGAATGAGTTGGGTTAGAAAGCCAAACACGCTGCTCTCCTACGTCCGACACCCGATGATGCTTCTCCTCCCTGACATCAAGGCAAAGAGTTAAACCCAAAACCCTCTCACCCTAAACCCTCTCAGCCCTAAACGGTAAACCCTCTCAGCCCTAAACCCGTACCCCTAAACCCTAAGGTTTCGGGAGGTTTTGGGCCGGGTTGGGAGCCGAGACTCGATGATCAAGGACGCCGCCATGATATTGGTGAAGCAGGGGTTGTTCAGGATGGCCTTTCCATGACTTAGGGTTTAGGGTCTAGGGATACTCCCCTTAGAACCTCAATAAAACAATACTTTAATATCCTCTTGGGTTTTATTTAAGCAAAAACTAAAGAAAAAAAACAAGGGGGATATAGATGATGCGAGGGCTTGCGGTAGGGGCCTTAACGGCTAGACTTTGGGGTTTTGGGAGGCCTTATTGTCGAATTCCAGAGGGGCCATAAGGGAATACTACTCGGAACTATTCCCTAAACCCTAAACTCTAAACCCTAGACCCTATCTTGCGCGTTTCAGCTGAGGATGGTTTAGAGCACAAAGTTGCAAGGCTCGATCTGAGAGAACGCACCAAAGCACCCCCTACAGGAGACCTCAGGTTCACAGGGTTCAGGGCGGCAAGAGGTTTAGGGTTTAGGGTTTAGGGTTTCGGGTTTAGGGGTTCCGGCCGCCGAGGACTTCTTGTCCGGCGTGAGAAACTCCGAAGGCTGCTTGCGGACGCCATCAGACAGCAGGTGGTTTCCTGGCTTCACTGGGTTGGCTTTTAACCCACGGAAAAATAGTTTTTGTTGTTGTTGTTGTTGTTTTTCTTTTTCTAAATAGGGTCCCTTAGAAACCCAAATAAGGAAGATAGGCAATGTCCCAAACAACCAACCTAGTTCATCTTGGCTGTTGAGTTGGTTGGTGGTTTGGGGACCGCAGCCCAAAGCCCAGGAGCAACATCCACGAAACCCACCGCAAGAATCCTGATAGTCTAGGCAGGTCAAGAACATGGAACGGCTCCAGTGAGAACATGGGAAGTTCTGCGAGCAGGATGCATCACAAAGCAGTGAAATCCGGGGTCGAGTGGCTTGAAGAGGAGCCGACTGAGACGCACTCCCTAACGCCTGCAATAGCAAAGCCGACACCCAATGTCCCAGATTCAAGGCCACCCCGCAATACCCCTAAACCCTAAACCCTAAACCCTAAACCCTAAACCCCTACGTTTGCCAACCAGCGTCTTCCCAAGCTGCTCGGCTCCACCATGGAGCCAGGATGTCCGGGGCTCATGAACCACGGCGATATCGGTGCAACTTCCGGGTGCCCTAAAGTTTGCACTTGGGGTTTAGGGTTTAGGGTTTAGGGTATAGGGTTTAGGGAAAAAATCAGTTTGGGGCTTCGGGCCTGGGGTTCACGGCGGGATGCCTGGAGGAAGCTTGGCTCTGGACCCTGATGTGCCGTGCCAAGAGCGGCGAGCTCTGTGACCATGACGGAGGCTGTGAATGTGTTTCTGTGGGAACAAGCCAAACAACAAGCCTCTGGTCTCAAATCTTGATACCAAAATTCCGCGGAGAGAAAGGTTTCGACCAACAACTGCCTCAAGCGTCTTTGATCATCGCAGCCTTCAAGAAGCAGGCGAGCTGAAAACCTCCCTAGGTGAGTCCAAAGAGGTTACCCTAAACCCGAAACCCTAAACCCTGAACCCTAAACCCGAAACCCTAAACCCGGTGCAGAGCTTAGCAACTGAAGCCGGGCTGGGACTCGGGTTTTAGACAAGTCAAGTTTGGAACAGCTCTGCATGCAGATCCTCACGACCCGCTCTGGTAGACATCAGGCCCCCCAAAATCCTTAATCCTAGAGTCCTAGCCCTAAACCGTAAACCCCAAACCCCAAACCCTAAACCCTAAACCCTGAACCCTAAACCCTAAACCCTGAACCCTAAACCCCAAACCCTGAACCGTAACCCTTTGCCAGGCTGGAAGGTTGCTTGGGGCTTTGGGGGCGCGCGCCGTGCCGTCATCCAGGTGGGGCATGCCGAAGTTCATCTCCGGCCTCGGACTGGACATGTTTTTTTTGTGTTCTTCTAGAACTAGGGAACTGCAGGGTTTAGGGTTTAGGGTTTAGGGTTTGGGGTTTAGGGTTTAGGGTTTAGGGTTTAGGGTTTAGGGAACTAGGGTATCCTTCACTCCCTGAGGGTTTGGGGGTTTAGGCCGGTTTGGCGCTTAGGGAATAGGGTCTGGGGGCGGGGTTAGGAATCCCTTAAAAGGCTTAGGTCTTTTGTCGCCCACATGCACGCTGAGCCCGTCCTACAGTACCTCAGGTAGCTTTGGCTACTGCATCTTGTTCGCCATCCACGCCGATTGCCTGTCAGCACATTTTCTCTCCAGGCGACTGTTTTTGTGATGTTTGCAGGAAGGGACCTCCTTTAGGAGTACAGGAGTCATGCAGAATTGACCTTGGCCGACACTCTAACCCTCCGCCGATCCAGCCCTGTCCCGAGGCTTCCGCCGAGTTTGATAGTAGGGGACCCCCCAATTGTAGGATCCCCTTATAACCCAATTATAAGCCCCTTAAGTGCCCGGATATGGTTAGTACAGCTATAATTGGCTAAGAAGTACCATGAACCTCCAGGTACCGAAACTTCCTTATTGTTTGCATCCGGACGAAACCCTCCATGGCCAAGTGCACGGCCGATCGTTTGATGCCTTGGCAGATGCCACCTTGGGCCTGTAGATGCCGCTCCTGTTTGGTTTTGGGTTTAGGGTTTAGGGCCTGAAAGTTTAAGGGTTTAAGGGCTTGAGGGCTTAAGGGTTTAAGGGTTCAAGGGTTGAAGGCTTGAAGGGTTGAAGGGTTAAAGGGTTGAAGGGTTAAAGGGTTAAAGGGTTCAAGGGTTCAAGGGTTCAAGGGTTCAAGGGTTCAAGGGTTCAAGGGTTCAAGGGTTAAAGGGTTAAAGGGTTAAAGGGTTAAAGGGTTAAAGGGTTAAAGGGTTAAAGGGTTAAAGGGTTAAAGGGTTAAAGGGTTTAGGGCTACGACCTCGAGGACCCCTCGAAACCCCGAAAGCCCTAAGCTGGCTAGTTCCATGGGTTCGGATAGCACTAAAATCCTAATTTCTGTTCCTTCTTGAGCTTAAGTACCCTTAAACATGAATAAAAAAAACGTTTTCCCCACTATGACCATTTAAGTTGCGACTCTCAGACCAGAGGTCTGAAGAGCTACGTGCGACAAAGACTCCCCCCCCCCCCCCCCCCCCCGAAGCAACCCTAAACACTAAACCCTAAGCCCAAGAAAATATTCGTAGTCCAGGATGGGCGCGAGCGAAGCATACTCTCTTGTGCTGTTTAGGGTTTCGGCTCTCGTGCTCGCGCAAGGCAGGCAATCCGGTTTAGGGTTTAGGGTCCACGAAGAGCCCTAAACCCTAAACCCTAAACCCTAAACCCGAAGCCTAAAACGAAGAGGCCTTGTTGCCCAGTCGACCACCATGCGCTCACTGAGCTCGGCCTCAAGGCAAGAAGGAGAAATTGGGTTTAGGGTTTAGGGTTTAAGGCGAATACACAAAAAATAGTACCCTGTCCATTTAGGGTTCAGGGGGGTTTGGGGTTTAGGGTTTAGGGTTTAGCGTTTAGGGTCCAGGAGTAACCTAGGAATAGAAAGGGTACCCTTTTTTTGGTTTTAAGGGGAGTATAAGGGAACCCCAACCGCACATAAAGGAAAAGGGCCTACTCCCGGTCCTCGAGTAAGAAGGAATGTTCTCTTTATCAGAATTAGAGTAAGTTTTTTGTGATTGCCCTGTTTTCTAATATAAACTAGAATAGCATGTCATTATGAGAACGAATACAATTCATAAGGAACGACTAATAAGCCGTCAGCCCGAAACTGTATACCGGCCTGAACTCCCCGACTCCCGTGACCAAGCTACAGACCTCCAACCACAAAGCGTAAAAGGTTTAGGGCCGACAGGGTTTGGGGCTTAGGGTTTATGAGGTTTAGGGTTCAGGGGTTGTAAGGTTTAGGGTATTATGGTAGAAGCTAAAAAGTTGGAAACTCAATAGCCTCAATCCCTAAGAGTAAAGTATAGGGACTCCCAGCACTATATGTCCTTAAAAGGTGTCCAACTTTTTGGGGTTTACTGTATGGGGTAAAGGGCTTAAAAGCAGGCAGCACTACAGGTGTACGGGTAAGCCTGCTTGGTGCGCTGCACTTTCCTTGTATACAGCAACTGCCCTCACCGCCAATTCATGAGGATACAACCCAACAAGATCACCACGGGGATTCCACCTCCACTAGCGAAAGCAGCTGCACTGAAGCTCCGCCAGCAGCGCTCCAAGCTACAGCCAAAAGGACACAAAAAAACGGAACCGCGCATCACGTGGACTATGGGGCACCCTATTTTGCCGGCGCGCAGTTGGCTCACGAAACTAGGCACAGGAAACGACTGCCGTCATGGTAAATGGCCTTTGCCTCGCTATACCTATACTGAACTGGAACAAAAGCAAAAATTATGATTGTTGCTGTTTCTTAGGAGTTAGGGTACCCAAAATGAAAAAAATCCCAAGTAGCCCTAGGATACGGCGAGGTAGATGTTCCAAAGCAGAAGCAGCAAGCCGGTGTAGCGCAGGAGAGACCCAACTACCGCTCCCTGCCGTCCAATGCACACTCGGCCCCACATGTATGTAGGTCCACTGACCTGCGCTGAACATGGAACCCTGGCAAAAAATATAATTTCAGCTGTTGCTTAGGAATTAAAGTATCCCAAGAAGTTGAAAATGATTCCAAATACCCCCAAGTGACCGCCCCCAGCAGGGCCGTCAAAGGGCAATTCCTCTGGCGCAGCTTCAGGAAGCAGAGCCCAGCAAAAAAGAGTGGCGAATACTCAGCCTCATTGAGCTGAGCGCTGCTCGCATTCTTGAAGGCAATGCTCTCAAGGATCTCCTTCCTCTCCTCCGAAGAGCTTGCCGATAGCAGCCTTGGTAGTCCAGTAACCATATTATAATCAGGGCACCCTTTTTTAGGTTGGGCATTTTATAAGGGAGCCCTATGCCAAAACAAAAAAGGGGTAAAGGGCACCACTGGGCTACCAAGCAGCCTTGCACGAAAGGCCAAGCTCATGTACAGCTTGCTGGCCACCGTGTTTGCCAAGACGACAACAGCCGCGATGCCCGCATCCATAAATGCAGGAAACTGAGCTGCGAATTGGGTATCGGTATGTTTGGTTGCTGGAGGCAGCCGTCAGCCACTTGAGCCGAACGGCTCCAGCGGTGGCTTAGGACACAACAGGCAAGGCACACCCCGTGTCATGGGAAGGTTTAGGGTTCATGACGCAGACCCTAAACCCTAAAGTCCCGAAACCCTAAACCCTAAACCCAAACCCTAAACCCTAAAGCCGAAACCATCTTGGTGCTTATGGAAACCGGGTGCGAAAGAACACATGCCTTTCTGCTTCCGCACGATAAAGAAACACACAGCTACTCACGCATCCTCTATCTTAGCTTTCAAGCAGATCGCAGCAACCGCCGTTCAACTGCCAAGCAACGGCAAGAAGTTACAACAAAAGCACCCAACTCAGGGCGGCCAAGAAAAGCTGCAGTTATACCACGTTGTTCCATGCACTGGCGCAAGTGGAAACCCGAAATCTGGGCAAGATTGCTTCTGATTCTTGAGGGCCGGGAGTTCCGCTGAAAAGGGAACCTGAGGAGGTCACCGTAGCCCTAGAGCCACACAGCCCTGAAAAGTGCGTTCGGTTTTTCAAGAACTGCGAATCTCAAGCGGAAAAAAAGGGGATTGAGGCGGTTGAGGTTCAAAACACGCGATCGGGTTAAAGAGCTTGCGTCTTCCCAGCTCCTGGGCACTGTGCCCTGCAGCTGTAAGCTCCTTATTTCCCTCCGCTTGGCACCCAGCATAGTGTGGGTTGCGCTCGAGGAACCTCAGCCGAAAGCTGAGACTATACTCCCCTTAGAACCCTAATGAAAATAGGATTTTTAAATATCCTCTTCGGTTTTATATAAACAAGGAAAAAATAATTCCCAAGGAGGGTATAGTAGAGGGGTTTGGGGGCGGAGGGGGCACGGCTGCCCAGCTTCGATTGACATCCACTCTCTGAGCCCCCCCAACACTCACATACAAAAGGAGCCCAATGCGCTCAACAGTGTGGAGGGTTTAGGGTTTAGGGTTTAGGGTTTAGGGTTTAGGGTTTAGGGTTTAGGGTTTAGGGTTTAGGGTTTAGGGTTTAGGGTTTAGGGTTTAGGGTTTAGGGTTTAGGGTGTACAAAAGGAGCGCCTGAACAGCCATGAGCCTAGCGCGCGCACAGAGTGCAGATGTGTCAGCAAAGATGATCGAAAGCATGGCCGCTGGCAGACCCGTTCGCAAGACCTCTTCGTAGAAGTTACCAAACTGGATACAAGTAGCTTGCAATTGAGGTGCCTCCGTTATGTAGCCCGTCTTACAGAAGCTTCCCAGCAACGGCCAACATCGACAACCTATACCGAAACTTAAACCGTGCAAGGACGGAACGAAATCAGAACACACCAGGGCCCACAACGGAAAGGCTAAACCCTAAACCCTAAACCCTAAACCCTAAACCCTAAACCCTAAACCCTAAACCCTAAACCCTAAACCCAAAGGAAAGGCTATGCCCTGAATGGGCAAGTCTCACACTGACTCCCTTCTGGCGATACGTCGAAGTAAGCTGTGCCAAGAAGCCAATCGGCCCAATGGAAGGTACCTTCGCCAGGCAGAAAGACCTAGCGTCGAACTGCAGGGCTCAAGAGTGTGAACTTGATTGGAACATGTGTTCCTCGAAACTCAAAACATGGCCAAAAAACCTGGAGTCTAGGTGGACACGCTGCTGCCCCAGTTTAGTGCTACAGCCCGGGGAACCCTAAACCCTAAACCCTAAACCCTAAACCCTAAACCCTAAACCCTAAACCCTAAACCCTAAACCCCAGGAACAGGTCCCCTTGCTAGGCAACTGTGCACCGGTTGAGTGGCTCGGAGGGTTGAGCGCGCCTGAGACCAGCCCAGCGGGCTGATGAACCTTTTTTTCTTCTCAGGGTTTAGGGTTTAGGGTTTAGGGTTTAGGGTTTAGGGTGAGGTTTTTCAGGGTAACTTCGGCAGAACCTAAACCCTGAACTGAGGGTCACACTGGAAAGAGCACCTCATACCGACCTCGGAGGCGGCACACACGTGTGAATGGGTTTCGGGCCTATGGGCCTTCGGAGTTTCGCGGGTTTGTGTGCTGCTGCTGCTGATGTCCTCTTCAGCCTCGCCTGTGGTATGCTGCAGCAATCGGTGGTCACAACAGTTCTAGAGATCTCGGAAGCTAATAGGGACCTGAAAAATTAGAATACGGTGTTGGGGGCCATTGTAGTACAATTACAAAGAGACCATAAGGGAATACTATTAGCAATTTTTCCGACCCATACATTATGTGGCTCAGTCTTGCTAAGAACTCCCGAGGATGCCTGTCAAGAGCCTCGACAGGAGAAATGCTAGTTGGGGACGTCCCCCTTATACTAACAGTCCTGAATAAGGGTTTTAATATTGGGTACTATAATCCCTATGAAGGACTGGTAGTATCAGGAGGAACATCCCAACCCTAAACCCTAAGCCCTAAACCCTAAACCCTAAACCCTATAAGGGGGAACATCTCAAACGCCAGTCTTCCCGGACTTTAAGGCTGCGTGCTTCCTTCTCCAACCCTACAGCACCTCCTGGAACTTGGACATGAGGGGTGTTGGGGTTTAGGGTTTAGGGTTTAGGGTTTAGGGTTTAGGGTTTAGGGTTTAGGGTTGAGGGTTCGGCTGCGCATTCCTGATGTGAGTGCTCACATTTTTGTTGGAATAGTTAATCTTGACTTAGCAGAATTTTTCAGACTTTCTGACGACATGTCAAAGTCATTAGCAGGCACAGAGGATTCGGCACACCATGATATTGCAGAGGATTTGCTAGTGTAGGCATATATGTATACTGCCGGCAAATTTTCACGAGTTTGCACGTGTAGTATGCGTTTTGCAAAACCAAGTCGCAAGACACAGATGTAAAACGGTCCACGAAACTGCATTGGACAAAATGTTTTTTGAGCCGGTGGTTGTATGTTCTAACTTTGTTCGCTACTTGATTTGTGGCCGCTGCCTTCTATGTTGTAGAAAGAAGCAAGAACGAAGCAAATGGCAGCGTTTTGGGCATGATCGCAAACGGCATGAGCACTTGTGACTGTGCGTCTGGTTGAAAAAAAACCAAGCTTTCTTTGTAAAAAAAGGCAAAAACGCGAAACAGTCCAGTTTTCACCAGAGGCTTGTGACAGTGCGTCTTGTTCCAGAATTGCCAAACATCCTTTTGTAGCATGTTGTATAAAGAACGCTGTAAACTGCAGTGTTTTGGGTGTGGTTTTCATAACATGGTCGTAACCATCCCCCCCCCCCCCCCCCCCAACCAACCCCCGGCCCCCCCCCCCGCCCCTAAGTAAGGGTTTAGGGTTTACGGTTTAGGGTCCACTCCAACTTACCAAAGGCAGCGCCCGGGCATCTCACCATCTTCCGGCGGAGGGTAGGAGATGACCTCAACATCATCGGTGGCCTCGGTGTGTGATGTCGCTGGCTTTATGAAAAATAGGGAACCCCTGAATAGACCCTCACTTGCTCAAATAGTAGGATGCCCTCAGAATCAGGACCCCCAATAAGGCACCCCCCTAACTTCGGAAACCATAGATCCTTCTCAACAAACTCATGCAGTGAAGAAGCCTTGGCAAGATAACACGCGCGTTTTCCTTCAGTGGCCGCCAGTGCCAGTGCTATGGCCCGAATGTGACCGATGATGGAAACACATTGGGCAACTTTGCCTTTCATCCTGCTCTTGCACCCCACATTTTGTGTCCAGGCATAGTCAAGTTAAACTGTGCTTCACGCTTTTCGCCGACAGGAGGGCAAGGCACCACTCATTAAGTCTTGTAGGATTTATATGCACGGCAGCCCAGGAACCATACTATGCTAAGGGCACCCTGTTTTGGGTTGATATATTTTATAAGGGAAACCATAAACAACAAAAAGGGGTTTTTGCAGCCGACAATGAAGCACAGCTTTCCGTTGAACCAGGGAGGTTCTACACCACATGGCCCCTTTCTCCGAATCATTTTTTTTGTCCAAGTATCCAAACAGAAGGACTTCATGCTCTTGCTTCAAGAACCCCCCTAAACCCTAAACCCTAAACCCTAAACCCTAAACCCTAAACCCTAAACCCTAAACCCTAAACCCTAAACCTGCCCGCCACCCCTCTCACCTCTGTTGGGGTAGGCGGGCGCAGTCGAGCGCTCAGCGAGACTGCGGCAGGTTTCTGCTAGGCTGCAGAGCCTGCCAGGCACAACCCTCAGGAGGGTCGCCTAGCTGTCTCAGATACATATATATATATGTATGTAGGACCTTTATGCGTTATTTGACGGTCCTGCTTCGCCTTCCAAAACTTTAAGGATTTTAAGGAATTTAGGGGTTTTCCAAATTTTAAAAGGACCACAAAATCCTTAAAATTTTGAAAGCCCGGACCTTTCAAAATTTTAAGGATTTTAAGGAATTTAAGGCCTTTTAAATTTCTTAAAATCCTTAAAATCCTTAAAATTTTTGAAAGAAAATTAAATTATTTTCCGGAAAGAGGCAGGCCCATTTAAAATTTTAAAAATCTTAAAAATCCTTAAAATTTTGAAAGCCCGGGCCTTTCAAAATTTTAAGGATTTTAAGGAATTTAAGGCCTTTTAAATTTCTTAAAAACCTTAAAATCCTTAAAATTTTGAAAGAAAATTAAATCATTTTCCGGAAAGAGGCAGGCCCATTTAAAATTTTAAAAATCCTTAAAATCCTTAAAATCCTGAAAATTTTGAAAGCCCGGGCCTTTCAAAATTTTAAGGATTTTAAGGAATTTAAGGCCTTTTAAATTTCTTAAAATCCTTAAAATCCTTAAAATCCTTGAAAGAAAATTAATCATTTCCGGAAAGAGGCAGGCCCATTAAAAGTTTAAAAAATCCTTAAAATCCTGAAAACCTAAATTTTGAAGCCAGGCCTTTCAAACATTTTAAGGATTTTAAGGAATTTGAAGGCTTTTAACTTTCTTAAAATCCTTAAAATCCTTAACACATCCTTAAAATTTGAAAGACAATTTCAAATTATTTACGAAAGAGGGAGGCC